TATATATATATATATATATATGAAGTTACGCAACGAGGTAGCGAGGGATTGAGCGACGGAGGGCGTTAGAGAATAAAGGGAAACGAGCGGAAATGAGAAGAAGGTGGAATAGCCAGCTAGCTTGTCAGCCACGCTGAAAAGAAATTCTCCATGGAAATCTAACATGGCCGCCGAGCGATCACGCGATCATCTCGTTGTTCGTGCGCGCTTGTGTCGCTATAGCAGACGAAACAGCTCGAGGGGTGACAACGCGTGAGCAGGAAAATAACTGCCACAGCCGCTGTTCATCGGGACTATGTCATCGCTCCAGTCCTCCAGTCCCCCCAACACACATACTCCTGAACAAATCTATGCGATTGTCAAGATTTTGTCGTCGGCATCGTATGATCATCAAGCATGTTTGATGAAGCCGACGTCGCGAGCTCGTACCTCGTGATCGCGTCAGCGCGCACTTACTTTATCGGGAAAGTTCCCCCTCGCCCGGTAACGATTATTATCCGGGAAACCTAGCGCCAGATGGCGCGTACCGATTTTGCTTTGCTATAGGAGGCATGCAACAGTAAGCCTCCGCAATTGCACTATTTCGTCTCTAGAAAATGCCTTTTTTAGCATTTTTTTTGCAGAAATTCGGCACTAGAGTGCAATAATTTGCATTATGCACGCAAGTTAGATGCCTCGTGGACGTCTAGAAAGCATTAGAAGTAAAATTGGTCTTGTTGTGTAATTGTGCCATTCTATTGTGCTATTCCAGCTAGTGGCGTAGCCATGGTCGCCGGTCGGCTATTTTTGTGTATGAAACGGAATCCGACTACTCTGTAGAAATTCGCATCATAGAGCTGGCAAAAGTTTCGAGCGGAGCATAGAGCATGAATCTGTAGTTATTTAACATGAATAAAGTGTATGTTGTGTAAGCGCAGTAACAGTGTGAGTATTTTTAATTAATTTCTGTTCGATGCTTATTCAGGCCTGCCGCCTATGGACGCCCTCTACTGTTGTTCAACACCTATAGGTGTTAGGCTTACTGTTGCATGCCCCCTATATATCGGACGAGCCTGGCAGTTCCGCCGTCCAATCATCTTCTTCATATCTCCGGGTCGGCGGCGTTTTCGACACGTCACAGCGGCTTACGTGACGGAATTTATGATTAGACCAGCAGGTACGGAGCCTTGCGAAATCTAATACATATTTGTGGAAGTTTCTCTGTTTGTCTGTTCTCGATTCAAATTAATATGGTTCACTCTAGATGCGTCCAAAAGTGGCCATTAGCTGTAATTTTGGCAACATTGCCCCATAGGCACATTGGATTTGGCCTCCGAAGTCATCTGACGTTTCAAAAGGAAAAAAAAAACACGAAAAAAACATGCAAAAATCTAGATACAATAATGTAACCCAAACCCAGGATAGGGTATCCTAGGTACCCTATCCTGGGTTTGGGTTACATTATTGTATCTAGCAAAAATCTTGCCCCTGCAGCAGCGGTAAATGAACCGGCCCACGCAACACCACTACATAAACAACGGGCTCCTGCAGCAGCAAAGCAGCAGCAGCAGCAGCAAATACTGGCCCCTGCTGCAGCGCGCCCATGCATCAGCAAAGCAGCAGCAGCAGGAAATACTGGCCCCTG